AACAAGCTCAACAAAAGAGACATAAACTACTATTTATTTCAGCATCCTATTGTCTACTGTCTACACATGTTATTGTTTATATATGCGGGTAAACAAATAAAAAACATGCATATATATAGGCTATATAGGCTATATATATGCTATATATATAGTGTGTGTGTGCCTGTAGATAGTACACACATATATACATATGAAAATGGTCCAAAGTCTACAGCCTGAATTTGCTTAGTGAGATCAATTTTTTAAATTTTTTTTAAATATACTGACGATATATTTTTGATGCCAAACATTTTGGTTTCGCCATTTTCATTTTGGTCCGTTGTCTTAAAGGGTATGTAAACGTCAATTTATTGATATTTATTTTCTCTTGTATTTGTTTACATGCTTGGCCAATAAAGCTTATTCTGCTTCATTAATATTATTAACAAAAGTGATGAATTGATAGATACACGAGTCAGCTCGGTGGTCCAAACCTTTGTTTTACTCTACTACTACTCATAATATAAAATCTATTTATTCTGATCAGTGGGTCTGTTTTTAACAATGCTCATTTGTAAACAGAAAGTAAGAATTGTAATTGAGCCAGAGTTAGATTGATGGATTGATTTGTTTATCTGACTGTCCTGTGCCATATGGTGCCCAGCCCATCTGGGGTTACAGCAACAACAAGCAGCCAGAATGCTCACATGAAAAAAGCCAAGACAGAAATGTCCTCATTAAGGATCCAACCCAACACACTATCTGCCTACCTCCGGGACCAGTTCTGCCAGTGCTCATGGATCTTATTGTATTCCTATTCCACTGTGAATTATTCCTGAAAATAAAAAGTACATTAGAAAGAGAGAATATTGTAGAAACCTCTCTGTTCCCCATTCCATTTAAAGATCTTTTTGGTTAGCCTTCCTCCAAATTTAATCTGTTGTCCCAGGCCAGATGTTAACAATACACCTTAAACATAATGTAAACCTTATTTCTTATCAATATTGAATATAGCCCAATACACAAAATAGCAGTATTTGGTAGGAAATGTGCTTTAACTTTAACAGTTTAGTTATTTCTGGCTGTGTTAGCCAGCAAACCAGCTTGTAAGTTGATTCAAATAATAATAATGTAGAAACATGCTGTAAATTGTTTAATGTAAATATTTATAATGGCTAATAAGTTAATTAACTTAATGAGAGGGAGATTTGTAGGAATAGTTCAGCTACTGTGTGACATCCATTAGTCAAAGCATATGCCACAAAACGTACTTAAAAAGTAACACAGCCTTATAGAAACGTTGTAATGTAATGTAATATTTGTAGCAGCCTGTTGTACACAGTATATATTTCGAGTAAATAAAACAACACACAAATAAAATAAAGGTGTTTGGAGAAATCCCACGAATGTATCGAGCTTAGTCTTATTTTGAAACTCGTAACCGGAAGTGTGGTGCTTCCGTGCGTAACTTGACACACTGCACGAAGAGAGGCGGGCAAATGAGAATGTGGCTCTACACCATGACCCTCAGCAGCCACCGTCCTCCGACCGAAACATGTTTGCTTGTTGTAGTAGAGACAGAAAGCTCACACAGTGTAAAGACTCCTCAGGTCAGACCTTAAAACACAGTCAAAGCGTTTAATCCATTAATAATATCCAAGCCTTTTATTCAGGGTTACTCACGGTGGAGCAGTTATGACCTCATAAACACAAGTCAATGTAATTACATGGTACTTCAACTGTACTTTAAACATCAATTACAACACGCTGTGAAACACACACATAATAATACACACACAGCCTTGTTTACTCACGCACTGCATCATTTCTACCAAACAAAATACTACACACAATAAACAAAAACTGAGATGTGATCTGTTTGTTTATTGAGTTCATTTCATCCCCAGAACTGTGCTCTCTGGTTCTTGTGCATTTCCTCAGGTGGGATAAAGAGAGTCATTGTGCCTCAGAGTGTAGCATCAAGCTTTATTTCCTGTGTGACGGTCAGAGCGAAGTTTGTTTGGTCGTTTCTTTTTCTGGAAGAGGTTCTGAACTCCCCGATCTGAAACACAGACAGAATAAATTCATGATAATTATTATAGTCCATCAGCTTTAAGCAGAACGGTGTGATTGTTTTACCAAAAGTCAATAGTTAAATCATTTTTGTGTGTGTTTTTGATGTAACTACAGTGGAATCAGATAAATAAATCATGACATTAATATCAATATTTAAACCATATTCTTGAAATATAGTTCCTCCCCGTATTGCCCATGCTCAGTCGTTACCTTTTCCTCTCACGCTTGTTCTTGAGCACTTTGTGGGATGTCATCACGATAAAAACTACAACGAGAAACCCTGCCACTGCAGCCAGTCCAGTGAAGACATTTTGCAGAAAATTCACATCTGCAGCTGAAACAAAACAGAAAATACAGAGAGGACACGTTCACGACTTGGTGCTGGATATTGGACATCTGTAAAGGCCCACAGTGGGATTTTAATACTTTTCCCCCTAAAAGTATCTGGATTTTCAAAACTGTAAAACATACAGCAACCAAAGTACTGCCTCTTCTCAGGCACGGAATCACATAAACTAACCACATGGTGGCGCTTTGACTACTTTATTCTGTTCAGGAACTACTTCACTGTGTAGACACATTGCTCGCCACAAGAAGAGCCTCTTCACTGTGAACTGCAGCTATCAGTGGAATCACTGCCTTGCAGCAGGAAACACAACTTTGTGTGTGTGAGGACAAATTCCAACAGTGAAAATCAGAAAAACTAAACTACACAAAGAGCCTAAGGAATAAAGTAGCATACAAAGGAAACATGCAAATAAAATACAATTACCTAACAGTTATAGTTCTGTACTTAAGTAAATAAACCTCTTCAGGTCAGATATTGCAGCCCAATATAAAATCTAAAACTCAATACAATACACAAAATGATGAGCTGCGTAATCTAAAATTCATGCAATACAATTAAACAAGTTACTACTCATCCTGGTACTAAGTAAGACATTAGTGATTACTACTGTTAATATTCATACATATTTCTTTGTGACCAATCCAGTTAAAGAAAATGAAATAAAGGGATCAGAGGTAGACGGACTATATCTATTTTTGATTAGAAAACTTAAAGAATGAGTCTGATGATATTCTGCATCTTTCTTATTGTCAAAAATTCCCATTAAAAGACCCAAACCAACACTGAATGTATCTGTAAGCAAGTATTGTGTGTCTATTAAAGCCTGATCTATCTCTTTCCTCGGAGCTTCACAGCTCCATTGTTGTTCAAAAACTGTTAAAAACACATCAGTGAGCCACACTGGGTCACATGTTCCTTCATTACCATGAACACACTGTAGTGTAGTGTAGAGTCAGACCTACAGACACCCTCCTGCTGCCATAAATACTCTCTACATTTAAGGTTGAGTGTCAATTCGCAGCTGAAAATAGTCCCAAACAAATGCTCTATTTCCTCCTGTTTGAGTCATGTTGTTTACTACAGTGTCCAGCTGAGCCTTTAAAAGAAAAACAATCTTTTTATCTCTCAGACTATTTATTTCTTCAGTTGGAGCCAAAGGGCTTTAGTGTGACAGACCAGGTAGAAAAGTTAGAAAATACTGAGAGACGAACTGAGACATTGTGGATTTGGTTGTATTTTTCAACAATAAGAAAAATATCCAGTATTTCCAGAATTGTCCTTTAATTATTTAATGTCAGACACTCGGCATCAGATCCTTAGTTCCTTTCTTAGAATCTTTCCAAACTTACCACGCGCAATGCCAGATCTACTTTTCACTTTTAACCTACAGTAGCTCTATGTCTGATTTGGACATATGTGAAGTCGGAAATGATGGATGAATGCCCCAGTAACAAAGGAGCAGGTGTTGGAGCGACACACTTTGGAGGCCACAGGGAGAAAGTCATTAGTCTGATGTAAACTCACCCCGAGTAGCAGCGCTGGTCACCAGCATGCGCCTGGTGGCGTTCAAGTGGCCGTCGTTGACCTCCGGCTGGATGCCCAGGATGTGACACATCAAGGGGTAGATGTTCACCGTCTCAAAGGGCCCCACCTCCAGGTTCTTGTGAAACGCTGGACCCACTGCCCTGAAGAAGGCCTTCATGTCCATCTCCTGGTTGTTAAAGCCGTGCTCACCCTTGTTGAACTGAACCGGGAAATACTGCAAGGACACGCAGATGTGGATAAATTAACGTGCGTGACCCAGTTTGTTCGATTCAATTAGACTGTAACTTTTATGAGCCAGTGGTTTTAGCAACATGACCTCATCAACAAGAGAGTTCACACATCCTGGCCTACTCTCCTTCAGTCAGCAGAGGGGGGTATTGGCCAAGTGAAGGAGACCTTTCCATACTGTAGAATGAGCCCGTTTTCTGTCTGACTATCAAACCATGACAGTGGCTAAATGAGAATTTAAATCCATCTTTAAAATGTCCATTTTCGTAAAATACACGAATGTCTTTGATAATGTTGTAATATATATTATGTTTGTTACCAACAAAATGTGATAACAAATGTCTGTCTTTCTGTTATCTTTTAGCAATTATGTAACAGTCTCAACATGCTTATCCTTCCCTGACATCGAACTGAAACGAGATTAAGTGGCCATAAAGGAAGTGAACAAAGAGCCAGGTAATACAGTCCTGATCATGGCCGGTCATAACCTATAGACTTTAGATAACTCCTTTCATCAGTGGTTTCACACGACTGATTTCTTTTCTCATATTCAGCATCTGAAAACATTTTATGATTTAATTATTTTAGCCTTTAAATGAAGTTATGATCTGATGGCTCTCAGTGCTGACTGACACATTCAGCAAGAAGTTACCTCGCAGTTGAATGACTGAGTGGAGCCAAATGAAAATGCTAATTTTGAATTTTGAGGCATGAATATCTTCATGAAGCATTTGAGAGCCATGCATGTCATCAGCCAGCCCTGGATTATCCCGAGGACGTGTAAATGCATTTGATTAAAATTGTAATGTCCTAAGATTAAAATTGAATTCCTTGTTTCTGGTTTAAAAGAAAGTTTCACCAATCCCTATGAGCAAAATGCAACTGCTAATTTAAGTATGTATGTAGTCAAGACTAAAGGATATTTCTCTAATAAACAAGATAGCACGTATTGTTAACCTGGCTAATTATCTTTACATGCGCTTGTCATTTGATTTCTTGATAAGCACTTTATTGGTCATAATCAGGTAAATCACTGACTGTTGTTAATACATTACCAGCACCATTACAGCATGGCATGTAAATGCAGCAGCTTTTGTAATGTAATTTCACATTTTGCTGCTGTTTTAAAGTTGCACTGTGCAACTTTGACACGTTGATCGGGAGCAAATGGCGACCTGAGGTAACCATTTACTTTAAAGGGTAAATCAATAGGACTTGCAGTGGGCAGAAAACTGCTGCTGCACATCTCTTTGTGGTTTCAAACTTTTTCCGGCATGTTTCATTTCTGGCCAAACCCAAGGTCAGCGGATGTCAGAGAAAACATGATCTGACATGTCTGATGACCGCCGCAGCTGCTCACTGATTGGATAACAGTGAACAGTTGCCTTACAGGTCTCTCTGACAACCAGCTCTTAAGCTATAGATATAAAGATAATAAAGAAAATCTGCCAACGCACCCCATTGATTAGGTACCCGGGGTCAGCCCATAAAATGATGGGGAGGATACGATCATTTTTGGAGAAATGGAGACACTCTGGCATCTCCTCCTTCTTGTACACATGGAGGTGTGGATGGCCCCCCTTCAAGGCATTGTAAACCTTCTCCAGCTTGCCCGGCTTTGGCAACAGCATTGCCGAAGGGCCATAATCCACCAGGTGGAAGGACACGTCGCTGAATGAGAAACCCGGGATCTTGGACAGGGTGATCTCTTCCACCAGGCCGTTGCGGTACACCGTGGACATGCCATGGTCTGACGTGATGATGATGTTTAGGCGGTCGGTCAGCCCGTGTTGTTCAGCTGAGTGTCGAATGTAGCCGACCGTCCGGTCCACTTGCTTCACCATCTCCTGGCGCTGCGGGGAGTCGGGCCCGTATCTGTGGCCTGTGCCATCTGGCTCACCAAAGTACAGGGATACAAAGTCCAGACCCTCATCCCTGAACCAGCCCATCACCTTGTCTGCGTTCTCTCGCCAGGCGGTCTCGTTCTTGTAGTTGTAAAGCAATGGCTCCACTTCCCGCACCATAGCAACCTGTCCCTGGTAACTGGAAGCTGTGCCAGGAAAGTGAAGAGAGCCAGCTTTTAGGCCCTGGAAAGATAGAAAAAGATATGCATTAACATCACACACATAAATATGACACATGTACTTGGCATGTTTTCAAGCATCTGTTCATACTGAGGGTCAACTTACAAGGAAACCAAATCAGTAAGTTGCTGGGTTTTCATTCAGTTACTTAAAAATCTACAGTTGTACTTTTTAGGTACAGCAGCTGTTATTTGCATGCAGTTAGCGTCTATGTCTGCAAAATAATTTGCAATATAACTGCACCGATCTGCCTGAAATTATTCAGCAGGCTTTCAGAGGTGTTTTGTTAAGAGAAATGGTTTCTTGTGCTGTAAACAGCAAAACAGTCTCTCACAGTGATAAGATAGAAAATTGTGCTGCACAGACCTGTCTCTGCACCGTGATCCAGATAGGCAGAGTGCCATTGTCCCACCACTCATTCACAAACTGAGTCTGATAGTAAGGCTTTTTCTCAGTGGTGGTTGTGTTGAACCACATGTTGTGGATTACCCCGTGATTTTCAATGTAGCGGCCTGCAGAAGAGAATCACTGTCAGTCTGCTTGCACTCATTATTCATAGCGTGACACATTCACATTAAAAATTCTATCAACTTAACGGGCTGAGTGGCATGACGCTTTTGGACAAGGTCTTATGACCAACTTCGGAGATTAGAGGAATTTAATTTCAAGGAAGTTAAATTTCTTTTTAGCTGGCACTGATGATTTGAGAGTCAAAATAAGAAAGGGAGCACAGAATTCTTCCCTCAGTCATCCAAGCATAATTATCTTACTCAGCTATAAAAGCTGTTGGACCCTGGGACATTCAATTACAACTAATTCCTTTTTCCCGTGGCTTTTTTCAACCCTTCCAAAGTAAACTCAGAGCGGTTTCCTATTCCGCCATGATATGCAGATCCCCCTGCCAACCGGAAGCACTGTTGTAGAAAATGAAACACTTTACCTGTCAAGAGGGTGAAGTGTGAAGGACTGGTGACAGTGAGGTAAGGAGGTGTGACATACAGAGCTTTGACTCCATCCTTGGCCATTTTGTCGAGGTTTGGCGTGTCCACATCCCGGTCGTAATCCCATCGGAAACCATCGAAGGAGATCAGCAGCACCTTCTGTCTCTGTTTGTTTGCCGGGGCTCCGACGATGGACGAGGCCCAGAGGAGGCACAGACCTGCAGTCCAGAGCATGTTGAACACAGACACTTCACAGATCCTAACTGACTCTCTCCTCCAGCTGAAACGCTCATTTACAAGAAGATCCACCTCTTCTCATCTCACCTGAGCTCTCTGAAGCTAACACCGTCAGAGCAAAGTTTCACCAACTTATCTTATCTCATAGATTGGACAGACTTTATCTCAGCACTTTCTGCGTGAGGCCTGATGATGTTTATGAGCCAATTTTACGGCTGGGAGTTGTGTTCACAGTGAATTTCCCCCCCTGTTTTGCTCTTGAGGACTGGCAGTAAACCAGATTAATCTCTCTGGGCATCATGGCTGTTTGTTTCCCCCTAACCCGCTCGTTGATGCTGTCTTTCTGTTTGTCTGCCCGTCTGTGTGTCGGAGTTTCCTTGTGAATCACTGACAATGGGGGAATGACACTTTGATGGGTTTCACCTTGAGTTGGGATGGAGCATGATTGATCTGACACCAGGAAAATGAAGAGGAAAATGAGAGTATATATCTCTTCGTCAGCTGGCAGTGGTCCCTCGGGAAGAAAAGACCCTAATAGACATATTCATTTTAATAACTCTAATGTGTACATTAGCCCCAGGATATTGTTAAAAACTCTACATTGATTTTTTTTCAGCAATTGCCACGATGGTGGACAAACTGTTAAAAGGTGAACTTAGTGTTTCAGCTTAGATCATACTCATTCTCATCATGCTTATATATATCACTGCATTGTGATGTAACCTTATCAACGTCCATCAAATTGCTTGACGAGCGAACTCTTCAAATTTGTTCTTTATTGTGTGTGTCCTTGGCAGAGGTTCAAGGGAATTGTCCAATCTTTATGGAGATAAGGGATAACATTCATCAGCTTTCATTTACCTCATTCATATTCATTAGCTTTCTCATATTAACTCTATCCGTTCGTCATCCACTGTCAGCAAGATTTGGAGGAGTGTTTGGACTGCTGAGACTGGTGCAAGTCTCAGATCTTTGCTATGAGAACTTTATCAAACACACACACTCTGAACTTGAGGGGCAAGCAAACTTTATCTGACCCTCTCAGTCCTGCACAGAATTTCCACTGGGTGTGTGAGGGTTTTCTGCCTTTAGCACTCCCTGCTGCCCATACACAACCACTGCACTATGCCTTCCCCAGATGGAAAGCCAAAACAACTTAATCAGTTTGAGCCAGAGCATGCACACTAGCAGTATTAGGAACATGGTATTTCACAGGCTGAAGATTCACTATTCTCTTTACCTTTTATATCTTTGGTCCATATGTATAAGGGTTTACATCCTCGGAACATCAGTAAATCCTCTGAGGTTTTAAACATGCATACTTCTTCTGAATCTGTCACTACAACCCAAACTAGTCTTGAACTTAAGTTTGAGTTTTCGGTCAGAATCATCATATACATTTTAAGATCAAGCATCACAACAGTACCATATAGTGAACATACAGTACACACAAGGTAAACCATCCAATCAGGGGAAGAATTAGTTCAAATGGTAAATGAATACCATCAAGGTTAGTCGGTACAGAGTCCGAAAATTAGAAAAAGGCAACACCAGGTGTGTAATAAAGCATCAATATTCACAGTTTATTGAATGCGTGAATCTACGGTGCCTGGAATAACCTCAAGCTGTCGTATACCATATGGGCAGTTTTTTTTCTCAAGTTGACCTAATTTTGTGTTTAATCTTATTTTGGGGCTTTTTGCCTGTATATGGACAGGTTCTTACCAAACTTGTATCCAAGCATCTGCATTTGTCATGTTTCTCCATAAAAAGAAAAAAAACCTTTTATTTGTCAGTCGCATTTATCCAAACAATCGAAGGTTTCTCACAAGTTTTTCTGTCCTCAGACGAACCTCTCACACATTCAGGTACACAGACCTATTTTACATACATAACATACTGTCGACTCTTTAATAATTAGTCCCTTGAGATCTGGATATACGCTACACTATTGTTTTGCTTTCATCATGCTGTTGCAGCCTATTTAGTTTAACATAAAGTGGCTCTGAACAAAGATTCCGAGTAAAAGTGCTCAGTTTCTGCCAGAGAAAAATGTGTTTCATTGCTGTATGCCTGGATGTAAGGATGTATTCTAATCTTTATACAATATACCTAAATGTCACAAGAGTGGTATAAATTATGTTTTTTGAAACAAGTTTTATACTGTTTTCCTTTTATCATCCTAAATGCAGCATTTTGTTTAAACATTTGGAGTCATGAATGTTTTACTAAATCCCAATGTTTTCCAATGTAGTGCTTACAGTGTAGCTGTGAGGACTGTCAGGTTAAAAAACATTAACTAACTAACGAACAAGCAAACTGTTTAACATTTGAATTTCCGCAGCGCGCATAAACTGTTTACTCTTGAATCAGAATTGCTGATGAAAACGAGTGAGATCTAAATGTAAAATACACAAACACAACCGCCCTTTTATAGGGGAAAATGAATTCTTAACTGCATCTGTATTCTGCTCACTTTGGAGTTTGAATGGCAAGCTGCTTCTTTCCCCGCTGTGACTGGAAGTAGACCATCAAGTTCATGCCAGCGTGCCGAGATCGATGTGTTTTCAATTGTGAGCAAGCAAACTTTTAATGCATGAATGGTTTATTATCAGGTTACATGCAAGTAAGTCCAAGCGTAAAACTTCTAACCACAGGAAAAATCCACTGCTCCGTGTTCTCACATAGTTCTCACTAAATTACCGCTACAAATGTTTTTTCTTTGACACTTTAACATTTTAGGAGTCTGTCCAACATAGTTAATCGCCGTCACGGTGAAGAAACCCAGTATGTCGTATCAGTTTTGGTAACAGGCAATGAAGGAGCTCAAACAGGGCTGGATGTAAAATATTGAGCATAATTCATCTGTGTAACCTGAAAACACACACATTTCATTTTATACAGCTCATCCCTCTTTTCAACTGTATATTTCCTCTGAATTGTGCTCATTATGTAACCATTGTTCTTTAGCAACTGACATGTTTAGAGATAAAACATCATGTCTGCCATGTTAATATTAATTCCATTACAAATCACAACATTCATTGTAAACGTGTTCATTTATAGTATTCTTATATATATGTCCAGCCCACTACTTTAGGGCTTGAGTTTATTCTCACTGCTCTTGTGGGGGCTGTTTTCAGAGAACACTGTTAGAGACTAACAGTTGAACCCAGATGAGAATTTAGCAGCTAAAGAGCCAGATATTTCCCTCAGGAGTTGGTCAAAATAGAGCTAAAAGAGAGTGACTATTGGTCACAACTCCAAATAAATCAGAATGTTGCTCCATAACAACTGGATGCGTAAATATGCAACAGTTCACCATATCAACCTAAAAACTGGTGATATGTCAGTGTTGTTCACAACTTGTTTCCGTTGCCCCCAAGTCGCCAAAAAACTCAGTTACTGCAGGCTTGAAGGTCCAGTGTGTAGGAAATCTATAGGCAGAAATAGAGAATAATAGTTGTAGGCATGTTTTCATGGGTGAGGTCCTCTTCTACGGAGTCCGCCATGTTGAACCGCCACGTTTCTACAGTAGCCCAGAACTGACAAACCGAACACCGTCTCTAGAAATGGCCTTTTGCATTTTCTGTGCGGGTGCGAGCTCCTGGTGCAGCAGAATAATGGCTGTGGTGCTTCAAGGAGAGGACTCCTTCACACCTGTCTGTGTAGGTGTGTAATGTCACCGGCCCAGTACAGTACACACCCACATATGGTCAACCTGAGTGATGACAGCAGAGGGCTCAGGGCAGCACCCAGGTCCAGGGCAGGGATCCAACATGAATATGCAGGTAAAAAAAATGTAATCTGTTTCATTCACATTCATTGTTACTGTTGCTAGCTAGGAATAGCATTAACTATCTATTGCCTAATCAAACTGAATTTATACTCAAACTGACCTTGAGTGTCTGTCTGTATCCTTGGACAAAGTCTATATGTGAATGCTGCTGCTGTTAAACGTGTTGACGTTGATTTGATAACAATGAGATTAACATTTAGAGTGGGTGGCAGTCAGTTCCGCCTGAATGACACAGTGTACGTAACATACTGTATTAAAATTGAACAGCAGGAATATGACAGCAGATATTCCTATAATACAGCAGCTCTTCCTCCAGCAGGCCACTAGCACGTAATCATCTTCTCTTCAGTCCACCGGCATCCTGAATCTTACAGCTGCTAACCTGCAGTGTATCAGCTTTCCTCTTCACTAATTCCTCACCTGCTCTCTTGAACAGTCTGCAGAGTAAATATGACTGTTCTTTCTCTGTTATTTGTCGCCGGCAGAGGTTCTGACACCAGCAGTTCAGTGGTACATCAGTATGTGGGAAAATGTGAAATCTAGTTAATGATCAGCTAAAGGTGGCACCATAAAAGCTGCTATAAACATAGATTATACTGTACTTTTAGAAAATAGTTGATTCGTACCTTAAAGTGTACTTTGCTACAATTTACCAGGTTAATATTAAGATTACCAATCATTATATGAGTGTCTGAACCAATATGAGTCATAAAAACCAACATTTTTCAGTAGCCTGATTATAAATATCTTTATTATTTTCATGCAAAAATACACTTTTCAATGTGAATTCTGTATTTGCCTACAAATGTATTTTTAGTTAGGATCAAACAGCCTAAATAAGGAATCTCTCAGCTGTGGAGGCCTTTAAAAAAAAAAAAAGATAGCTTGTGGAGTGTAATGTGTATATCTAATGCTCTATGTACTTTCAGAAACACATGCATGCCATGTGATACATCCTGTGCCGAGTGTAGCTGACTGTATGCATATTGACTTTAGGAGACGGTAAACAGATAGCAATGCACAAGTACAGAAGAAAATCAAAAGCACGTGTAAACAAATGCTTGCCAAATGTTTTATGAAGTAGGTAATGTATTAAATATGTTTGTTTGGCATTGAGGGTGCACACAATGCATTTGGATGAGGACACCTTGAATGTAGACAAATGGTGTTTGTTTACACAGAAAACTCTTAAGGATACGATTTGCAATACTTATCAATACAAATCCAATGAGAAGACCCAAACCAGCACTGAATGTATCTACTAACACGTAT